GTGAGGTGAGAGGTGGCCATGAAATACTGAGGAGAGAGAGAGAGAGAGGAGGAGGAGGAAAAAAGAAAGGAAAATTCAGCAATAAAGTGTAAGTGAGGAAATCATTTTTCTATTTTTTACTTCACAAAGTGTTTCCATCCATTCAGTGTTAAACTCAACACTTAAAGCTGACGATGTAGACTTCTCACAAAACTTCTTCAACTAACAAAAACAACAAAACAACAACAATAATAAACAAAATTATTATAAAAAAGTACAAGTACCTGACATGGCAGAGCTAATACAATGTCTGCAGTAGTACAGGATAACACTCAAAGACATCACTGGAATGATACTTGACATATTGATGCTGAAAGAAAGGACTGTAGTCCAAGACTGAGGACTGAGGATGAGGCTTCAATAGATCAGAACTAGTAGAGGAAGACTAGAAAGAAAGAGAGAGAGGGGGAGAGAAAGAGGGGGGAGGGGGAGGGAGAGGGAGGGAGGAAGGAAAGGAGAAAGAAAGAGAATTAGATGATAATGATTTTTTATACAAGAGAATTTAAGGTTAAAAATAGTAACTTCAATTACATGTATTTCTTACTTCTTCAACTTTGAACTTATTCTTATCTTTCAAAAGTCCTTTGAGTACATTGAGACAGTATGACATACAGTTCCACGAGAGAAGGTGCTTAGCAGTGTAGTTCCATAACCTATTAGCAGAAGAAGAACCCTGCAAGAGGAAAAGAAAGAGAGAAGTAAAAAATTTAAAAGTACATGAACTGTTGGTCAACATAAAAATTGAAAATATAAATACAAGTACATCAAGGGCAATTTTTGGAAAAAAGCATAATAATAATAATACATATACAGTGTACGACCGACTCCAAATTTTGTACAACCCACTCCAAATTTGCTCAAAAAAATTTGTGCTTGGAATATCAGCTCAAACTTTCTACATGTACATACATGTACATGTACATTGTACATGTACATGTAATAGTAGAATTTGAGAAACAATTTTCATTGTACTGCACACACAAATGCAATAAAGGAACAAAAGTAAATCAAAAACAAGTACATGTACATGCAGCAGACCTCATTCTTATCTGCTCTGATTCTCTTCCTGCTCATTATTATGTTCAAGAATCGGAGCATCAGTAAAGAACCTTCAGATGACGAGGACCTCTCTATCAGGACCGAGACCTCCTGTCTCTCTAGCAGTTTCAAAATGGCCGACAGCAGGGAGCTAAAAGCTTTATTGTCCTTAGAATCACCTTCAAGATAACCACAAAGGAAAACAATAACCTAAAAAATTAAAATAATATATTAATTATTTTATTACAATTATTTATTCAGTGTTAATTTTGCACACTATTTTTAGCAATTCGGTTAGGAATTTTTTATCATTACTAAATTAAACTGATGCAATGTTAGTAACGTCATTTATTATCAACTAAAATTAAAGAGAAATTCTAAAATTAGTGCAGTATATAAATGTAGAGCGAATTCATTCTATTAATATTACCTGCATGTACGGTAATCCTCTGACTCCTCCCACTTTCTCCACGACCTCCAAATGCTCAGAGAGAGCTGTTAACAGCCTCAGTCTCAGTCTGTGGTCCTTTGATAATACTCTGGTCTCTTCGGAGGGTTTGGTTTCTTTAGGGGTGTCACCTCCGGTTGACTCCTCCCTCTCATCATTGACCACACCCTCACTGACCAACTTATCTTCATAGATATCAAGGAAACTGGAATCCTCTGAGAATAGAGTTGTATGGTTATGCATGTGTACATGAAAATACAATATTAAATATGTACATGTACCGTAAATGTTCAAATAAAGACCGGGCTTGAATAAACGCCTGGTACTAAGAATCTTCAAGTATAGATACACATATTTTACTCAAAATAAGTACCACAATTCTTAGAGTGTCCCAAATGGCCTAACTTGTTAAGCTGAGTGCCTCCGACCTGGAGGTCCGGGTTCGAATCCCAGTTTTACTTTTTCTTTTTTTATTTTACGCAATTTTTTTCTCCTGGAAAGAAATAAACGCCCGGGCTTTTATTTGAACATTTACGGTACATGTATCCATTTTCTTAAGTTTTTCCGCATTAAATTTTATCTACAAGGATCACATGAACAAGCACAGAATATGTACATATAATTATAAATTGTGTTATAATAAAGCCAAATTTAATAGTGTTGCACTACTACACATGTACATGTATATCTTCACCACCTTGTATATCTACAGTACTTCACCAAAATCGAACTACAAGTACATGTACTTTCAGAAAAAATTCAAATATGGTACATGTACATGCATAAAGTACATGTACATGTACAGTGTACATATACATGTATACCTGCATCTTCTTCTCCACTGCTGTCATTTTGATTGTCAGCCTCAGAATTAACATCCTGAGCACTTCCATCAACCTTATCCTTGGGCTCAGTCCTCTGGCCACTGCTAGGAAGCATGGGGACATTAAGAATAGGAACAGTCTGCACTTGGGGCCCTCCCTCTCCTGCTAGATCCTCATACGAT